ACATTCGGTGGTATTGTCTCAGGTCGCGACGTAGATGTCGCCGGTATTGACACCATCATGGGACCCTGCTACCAGTACCAGCCCGTCCGCGTCAAGTTCGAACAAAACTGGACAGCTTCACAGCTCCTGAACTACGTGCGCAGCCAGTCTGTCGAGGGCAGTCAGCACGCCACGCTAAGCTTCCAGGAAGTGCTCAAGGAATGTACAGATTGGCCTGCAGACATTCCCTTCTACGGCTCTTTCACCAACCATCTCAACAAGGAGTTCTTCGACTCAATTCCCTTCGCTGGTACAAAGTGTCGCGTGGACTACTCCATCCCTCATCCCGAGCCTGCTACACCGCCTCGTATTGTATCATTCGTTGAGAACGGTAGAACTCAGATTGGTATTGAGGCTGACGAGGAGCGTCGCGAGTTCTGGGAGGCAAGGGTGGAGGAGCTGGCGCGTGTTATTGAGGGCTTTGTCAAGAACCCAAACGATTTGATCTAATTTTTGAAAATTTCGCATGTTTATAATTTTAAGGATAGAAAGGACAGAAGAATTGGTTGTATATTTCATTTACTTCAATTGAAGCGGTTCACATGGAATTAATTCTCATTCTCGTCCGAAATCTTGAAAAGGCACCATTGAATCCATGGTGAACCAGATCACTAAAGAGGCCACTAAGACTGTCCTAAATTTCCCTGAACATTACCATCGCAAGGCCTAAACTTTTCTCACTTCAGCGGGCTGTTAACTCTCCACGTCCCCCGCCGTCTTATCATGCACCACGCTCTCTTCAATCTCGCCAACTTCCTGATTTTTTATGCGCATGCCCACGCTCGCGTGATGGGGTCTTATTGTAAGAGAGCTCATCATTGCGTTGAATCGTACTCTATTGATCCGCTACTTTTTGTTCCACGTGCCTTCATTCACGACGCGAATTTTGAGCTGATGTCGTCCACTATGAACCCACTCCACTGCCACCAGAGGCTGGCTACAGTAGAGGTGACCTAGAAATTAGCGGCAGAGAGCTCAGAGGAGTTCTCGCAGGATTTAGTTATGTCCTGTCAAATGAAGTGATGGACTCTTTTTCGCGTTGCATTGCGTGTTGATCAACAAGGGACGAATCGGTTTTCGAACTTCAGTTCGTATAAGCTAAAACTTTCTTAAAGATTAAATGCTGATGTATTATCTTAATAGTTCTCAGTCTATGTCTATGAAGTGTATGAGGGAATCTCATCTATGACATCTTACGGAAAAAACCAAGTATTCAGCCCTCTAGTCAAACGCCAGTCACAACTCCAAAATCCAGTTCACTAAACATAATGGCAGGCAAGTATCCTCGAGAACCTATCTGTCTAAAACAATCCACAACGGCGCTATTTGATGCTATCGTGCTCCTGTGTCGGCTCGCCGCCATTCCCGATTATCGTCGTCATTGCGCAGACGCTGGGCAGAAAGGTTGGCTTCTAGGTCCAGATCCTGCGCCGGTCCCAGTCCATGTGATGTTTCCTGTCGTGTCTGCTCGGTGCTGAATCGTTCAAACTTCTCTGTGGGAGCATCTTGCAGCTGGCTCGCAGCCTCGGCCTCAGCCATCAAGCACCTCTTGCGGACTGACCAAGCGCTTCCAGCATGGCCGACAACCCACCAGGAGAACAAGATGGGCAGAGTAACTCCAATATTGGCACGGCACCCAGACCAGATACCGACGAGAAGAAGCCAGGCGTTATGGGCTGGAAGTGCCCAAGACCAATGGTAGAACCCGGGTGTGAGCTCAAATGGGAAGACGGTCGATCCGATATTTAGGATGATCCAGGTAAGAAGGAAGAAAGCAAAGAACTGCATGGGGACGATAGTCGCCAACACTGTGTCGATGACAAGGTAGTTGATGTCCATGTAGAACCAGAGGCACATCCAAGTCTCGAAGAACTGGGCAGCATCGACACTCCAGTTCTCCCGAAAGGCCCAGAAATAACCTGCCATACCTAGAGCACCGATGAGAGTATAAATCTTTCCGGTTATGAAGCGGAAGACATAAATGTCTCGCTTTGAGTAGGACTGGAGGACCTTGGTAGAAGTTGTGATGCCATTCAATCCCATCTGGAAAAAGAAATGCATGAGAATGCCCATCACCAATGAGACTGTATTCAGAAGAACTCTTGTACCCTGCTCGGTCGGCATGATGTTCCAAATTTTGGCCTGGAAGGGTCGAAGGAAGGTGCTCGCTGAGGTAGGGTTGGTCATGTTGACGGCCTTGAGGGCATCGGGAGTCGTGAGGCCATACATGGTTGCGGCAGCGCCAACGAGACTCTGCATGTTGCCCTGGAGGGAGGAGAAGATGGAAGGGTAGTATGCGCCGTTGTAAATCGTAGTAACAGCGTCTTGTGGATCATAAACAGTAGTGTTGTCGCCCTCGATGGTGGACAAAAGACGATCAGAGGCACCAGGATGAGTATAAATAGCACCCCAATAGCCATGATTACAGACGGCGTCGCGAACCTTTTCGGGGGTATCATACTCGGAGGACGAGCCGAACTCGACGGAAGGGAACTTGTCTGACTGGAGGGTACCATAAGCACCAGAAATGGCCTTTCCGATATCGCTGCCGTCGAAATCGATCGCGAGGATCTTGAGGTTATGCATTCGCGTTGAGGACTTGAAGAGAGAACCGAAGAGGTAAGACATATTTGCTAGGAACAGGAGCTGAACCATCAAGGCCGTCATAATGACGGGTATTATATAGGTCTTCATCCTGACGGACAATGGTGTAGACCGCGAAGAGATGCGGTTGGATGATCGAGGTGGTATTAATGTCATGGTGAATGTATGCTGCTGTGCCTGTTTGTGTCGCAAGTAGGCTTTGGAAGATGAGATGGAAGTACTGAGTAAGACTTGTAGTTAATCGTTCGTTGGAGATATAACCAGGAGATATTGTTTACTTATACGTAAGTCTAAAATATGAATATCATGCTATTCCCCTGAGCTATCAACGGGGTTGTGTTACATGCCGCCGCCGCCCAACTCAGCTGGCTTCCCGAATCTCCGTTTATTAAGCCTCCCGGGCTCGGACCCGGTGATAAAGTCATGGCAAGTCTCACAATGCGATTGGATCAGACTCATGACTCAGCGGAAGTTGGGGGTTTTTCGCATTCGGTCCCACCAATTCCAGAAATTCGGTCTTCGGGCCAAACGCAATTTCCATGCCGCGAGGCCAGTGGCTTCATGTGCATAGACGGTAAATCTTGATTAGAGATTTCTTTTTTGCTGTCTATAGTGGGCCTTTCCCCTCGAGTACGCGCATTCGCTTCCGGCATTTGAGTAAGGCTTAGCAGTAAACAGATAGCATATGACGTATCTAACTCATTGAATCCCGGCTTCGGGGCCAAAGGATCAACTGAATCGGCTTGAGACTTACTTTAGACTCTCCAGCTCTGGCCTCAACCTTTCTGTTTCTTCCATCAGCATCGCCCTGCGCGTGATTGCGTCTTGCCCGGTGCCTTTTCGTTTTGTTCGCGAAATGCGCTCCAACTGTTTGGCGCCAGTACCTTTCGATTATATCTACTGCTGTTATCCCTCGCTCTAAGTCCCCTTCGTTCCTGGAAATATTGCTTCTATCCCTCATTTGATGATCCACTCTTTGGGATAGCCTTTTGCAAGGCTCTGGGTTCACCTTGCAAGCCATCTTGCCTGGTGGCATAGTGAATGTTGAGGACAACCCACGCTACGGTTTCATCGAGTCACTCATCCTTAACAATTCCGTGCTAGGGTTGGCAGATAACTAGACCTTGAGCATCAAAGATAGCGAGAAGATCTGAAGCAATAGACATGGTGGATTATCATCGGTCCGCGTATGGCTGTGTTTAACTCAGACGGAAGCAGCTCTTCTCAATCTAGCCCGGATAGAAAGTGATGTCTGAGAAGATGGTAGAGTCTATACATCTTTTACTATCAAAGTTAGGTATATCGGCCAAAAATACGCGCTAGTTATCGTATGAATAGCGATATATAGTGATATGCCTGGTTTCTGACTTTGTCAGTATTACTGAATGAACTCTCCCTGCAAGTAGAACTTACTAGACACCAAGTCATACCCTGTTCTATCCAGCTCCCTTAATCTCTGGATATAAAAGCTCTCCCCAGACCCTTTAAGGTCCATCGATGTTACTATTGTGCCGCCTGGACGAATAATAGTCAGTGAATTACCAATTTGATAAAAGCGACCTGTCAGCAGCTTAGTCGCTAGCCTCCACAGGAGGGTAATTCGTTACGGATAATAAACCACGCGTTTACTTGGCGAAAGCGAGAAACTGATCTAAATTAACCCCTGTTTTCAGCTGCCTGCAGGATCATTATCTTGAGCGAGCATGTCCTTGCCCAATGGCAACAACTCATCAAGGAGGAAGAACACTTCAGGCCTAAACTTGAGATGTTAAAATTAGTTCACTGAAAAAAACACTAAGTCTACGTACATCAAGGCCTAAATTCATATAAACTTACCTAAATCTTCGCTTCACTTAAACTAAAGGTCCTGAATTTTTTGGCCTTTATCGAATATGCCTTGCCATAAATGCCAAGGCGTTAGGCAGCCACACTGTATGCATTACGACCAGGTCATGTTTGGCCAGCAAGCAACCATGTCAAATTGTAGTAACATCAGCCAATAGCGTAAGCCAAATCGCGATCAGACTGGGCATCCCATCACCACGATAATGCAAGAGGTCACGCTGAACTGATGTTGCAAGCCACAGCGGGGTTCAACATGTTCAGCAACTGTGATAATGCCTCAAGTCGCAGGAATTGATACGCTGAGAATGATATGATCTTTCAACTAAAATCCTGACTTGTCCCCGCCTCGCTTCCCCAAATATGATGCTCGTTTGTTACCCCAGTGCCAAGCAGCGGAATTCCCAGAGAAGAGAAGGCCAGCTCCATAAAAGTTATAATCAACTCAACTGACGGTGCTTTGCTTCTTGCCAGACACCATACTTCACAAACTCGAGCACGATCGAACTGGCACCATGGGCGACGTATTCGGAGGCTTTAGGCCGAAGCCTAGCGACATTTTGATAGCCATCATGGGAATGACCGGGTCTGGAAAAAGCACATTTATCGCGCTGTGCACTGGACAAGATGTTCCCGTCGGCCATGATTTGCAAGCTTGTACGTATCGGCCATGTTATCCATTAAATGACACAGTCCCATCTTAACACGATGCAGGTACACAACACGTCACTGCATACCAATGCAAATGGTCAGATACCTCTGATATATATCTTCTGGATACTCCGGGGTTTGATGACACGAATCGATCAGACACCGAAGTTCTCAAAGAGATAGCCTTAAGTCTTGCCAAGACATATGAAGACAATGCCAAACTGAGCGGGATCCTATACCTTCATAGGATCACAGATCGTCGCATAGGCGGATCTGCTCAGAAGAATCTCATGATGTTTCGGAAGCTCTGTGGCAAGGACAGTCTCAAGAACGTTATTCTCGTAACTACTATGTGGGAAGGCGAGGATGCAGCAACAGGGGAAAAACGAGAGCAAGAGCTGGTCGCCACGGATGGTTTCTGGGGAGCCCTGGTCGAAGAAGGCGCTCAAGTCAGTCGTCATAATAACACCCGCTCATCCGCCATGTCCCTACTCAAAACTGTTGCCAAAAACAATCGAGTTACCATTTCCATTCAAAAGGAGATGGTCAGTGAGCATAAAGATCTCAATGAGACTCAGGCGGGCATTGGCCTCAACTCGAACATCCTTCTAGCTGAGCAGAGGGTCATGAAGGAGATGTCAGAAGCACTCGAAATGGAGAGGCAAGCCAGGAGGGACCAGGACGAAAAGTCGGCCGAAGAACAACGCCAATATCGCGAGACAATGCAAAAGAAGTTTGATCATCTTAATCAAGAACGAGAGAACCTCAAGGTAAGCCTTGAAGAAATGAAGGAACAGAGACGTCGCTTTAAAGTCTTGGAGGGCAAGTATAAGGAAAGTAAAGAGCGAATGCGCCAACAAGATAAGAAGATCGAGAGTCTGGAAGAGCAACGCAAGCTCCGAGAGCATGAGATGCTCCAACGAACCGAAGAGGCCACCAAGGAACTAGCGAGCCTCCGCCTCCAGCTTAGTGTAAGAGGCAATACTCCAACAGGAATCTCAAGTGTGAAACCTCGAAGTTCAGGGTCTCGTTATGTAAAGGGCGACGAGGACGTTACGTTGTTCCTATCAGGAAGGGACTTCTTCTTTGGAGGTAAAGGGGAAAGCTTCAAGTAAGTAAAAGTCTTCTCATTATGGATAAAGTCCCTTACCAGCCATAGGTGTCGCCAAAACGACCTGAAACCATTGATAGGTGACAATGATAAACACAAGATTTGTGCGCTTGGTGCCAATGGATCATGGCTCTACCACTATCATACTGGAAGTGACCTTAACTGTTGGACGTGTGAGTCAAAGCTCAGTTATTGGATGTAGACAGGCACTGATGTCTGTAACCAGGTTGGTCCGACTCGCTGGCGACCGAGTATCCGAAACTCGTTACATGGCTCGATAAACACCAAAAGTTTGGATGTCCCCGACACATAAGCCTTGGTGTCAAAGGTTTCTTTTTCATCAGCATGATGGATAACTCATCCCACTGGCGTATACCGAGGTCCTTGTCTAGAGATGTCGCCGAGCGGGAACTTCCAGGTAACTTAGGGTCCATCCGAAGGATCTGGTTTGGTTACAATCACGATTACGTGGTCGAGTTGAATACCAATGAGTATTGTATCCACTTAAAACATTATGGCGGCCTTGAAAACCATCTGGACGATATATTGGAAGAAGAGATAGGAATCAAGGTTTGTAAGTCCCCTCGCTCTATCCACCGTTTATTGACCGGACTAAAGCAACTTGCCTTGAACATTGAGGACCTTAGAGGGTACATTCTGATTCCGAGGGAAGGAGTATCAGATTGGAGGGTCGGAACTAGTAATAGCCGTTTTGACGAGCCAAGTTGGCTGAAGTTCAAAGATGATAACGAGGATACTTGGTAGCAGTGCAGGGAGGGAAGTGATACTATACGGCAATTGGAAGCTGAGACTGCTAACACGTGTACGAAAGACTGCTGGGAGATAAGTGAGATCCTGGTCCTTGAAATCCTGTCTAATCATATTCGCAAGAAATCCCATAATTTTAAATAGGCATTGCCGACTCGTTACTCATCAACTTAGTCAGGAAATAATAACAAAGGCCTAGATTCGGCATGGGCAAGATATCCCGTGTTCGTGCGAAAGTTTGATAAGGAATGCAATTGATCAGTCCGCATGAAGCAGCCTGACAGGCTTCAAATTACTATTTCTTTACATAGAATAAAGAGCGCAATTGAAATATCTACAATGAAAAAGAGTTTTATGCTAGACTGTTTACTTGCGGCAAAGGCGACCGGTTTGTTTGATCACGTAGGCTGGATGATCGGTGATATACCAGTCCTCGCTACCAACAGCAGTAGGAGCATAAAAGACACCGTAAGGATCAATCTTCTTCTTGAGCTGGTAAAGCTTGGCATAGTTAGATCCGAAGTAGGACTGGCCAAAGTCAGGATCCATAACATCACCCTCGTTACCGTAGCCACCGCCGCCAGGAGTGACAGCCTTGAGACGCTCCATTACGCCATGGGTGAGTTCGTTGTTGACCTTGGCAATCTCCTCCTCACTATCGGTGTAGTTCCAGTTAAGAGCAGTGATAACAAACATGTTGGCATCGCGCCAGGCAGGGTTGGCAGAGTTGGGAGGGGTGTTCTGCTGCTTGGCATTGATGTTGTAGATAATGAGGACGCCTTCGTCAGTAAGGATACCCTTGAGAACGTCGATTGTGTTGTTGAGGAGCTTGGCGTCATTCCAGTTCTTGCGGGGGATGAGACGAGACCCGGAACGACCATTGTAGTTACCGACGTTTTCAGCAGGGAAATGTGTCTTCCAGGCAGGGTAAAAGCGATCATGCTCAAAGAATGTGGGCTTGGGGTCAACGCCAAGTTCCTTCCACTCATCAAGGAGGGGCTGAACGATCTTCTTGAACTCGCTAACAGAGATGTTGGGGATCATCCAAGGGTTCATAGTCCAGAGGAAACTACCGTTGCCAGCAGGGAACATGAAGCTATAGCCGTAGCTGTTCTTGTCAGAGTATTCAGGGAAGCGACGCCAGTAGACGTCAAGGGCCTTGAAGAGAGCCTCCTGAGAAATGCCAGCATCTTTGGTATTGACACTCCAGGTCATGCCAGAGAACCTCATCTTGGGGTAGACACGGACAGTCATGGAGACGACGACGCCCCAGGTAGCAGCACCACCACCACGGATAGCCCAGAAGAGATCAGTGTTCTGCTTTTCGTCGGCAGTGACGAAGCGACCATCGGGTGTGACAATGTCAACGCTGAGGAGCTGGTCGGCAGCAAGACCGGCGATGGGGCTGATGGGGGAGTGGCCACCACCGGGAAGATAACCGCCAGCGACACCAACATCCTATGAACCTGTTAGTATCTGCGAGTGATGGCCGACGAAGAGGAAGGCTTACACGGCACTCTCCACCAACAGCAGTGTAACCCTCCTGGTCGGCAGCCAGGTAGAGGTCCTTGACTTGGATACCAGCACCAATCTTGAAGGCAGGGCCAGTATAGCTGCTAGCACCACGGTAGTTCTTGGTGAACTTGATGTCCTTGAGGTGATGTGTCCAGATGCTCAAGGCACCAGCGCCGGTGCTCTTGCCAAGGAAGTCATGGCCAGTGTTGTGAACGACAAGACGGAGATTGAGGTTGCGAGCGAAGTTGACGGCGAGTTGGATGTGGGCAACACAGGTGGCCTTGATAGAGTAAAGAGGGAAGCCACCAATGGTGCACTTGGAGCCCGAAGCGGCGTTCTTAGGCTCGCAGGTGGCGCCCTCAAAGAGGGGTGACATGACCGAAGTGGGATCATCGATGCTTGTTGGTGTTAGTCTGATGCACGTATGAGACGGCACGATCGAGGATGAAACTCACTGAGTCGTTGAATTGTGCCAATTATCGAGTAAATATTTGCACTTCTCCTTATCATAATGCTCTCCTTTGTAGCAGGCTGAGCCCAGGGGAACTGTGCTGATAAGGGCACCTCCGCTGAGAAGGTCGAGGACCTTCCAGACGAGGTTGTTGGGGTACAGCTTGTCACCAGGGAAGACCTTGCACTTAGAATCGTCAGCGGCAGATCTCTTCTTGGAACCCTTGGTATCAGCAAAGTAAAAGAGGTCAACTTCACTGAGGTTGAGGTCCGTGAGGTTGGTGAGCACGGCATCGGTCAGCCGAGGGGTGTCATCGACAAAGGAATACTTGGACGATGCAGCAGGTGGCTCAGACCACGCCGGGGCAACATTCTTCGCATTGGCCGCTACCCCATGTTTCAGATCAGCAATGGTTCATGAGAGAAGAAAAAACAGATTCTGCAGGCGATGGTGTTACGTACGGACCGTCTTGCCATCGACTTCGATCGTCTGAGCAAGGGTGAGAGGAACGAGCGCGGCAAGCAGCCACGAGATGTGAGAGCCTTGCATCTTGTAAAGTTTTGAGGCTGACTACACTGCAGGGACGGGACACAACGCCAAGGACTCGAGTGGGCTGGGGGAGGAAAGAGAGGGAAAGGGGAGAGATCGGCTTATGCCACATGGCTTTCTGTGCCGTCTATATATCGAACACTAGTTCTTATGGTACTACTGTAATCCTACAGACATACGTACGCGAGTTGGCGGTGTTTAGCACGTATTAGGTAGTAATCACCTTGATGCTTAGGTTCATGGGCCGAAAGATATCCATGCTTGACGATGGAGTGCGGTGGCGACGGTGGAGTAAGAGCCGCGAGGGATTGCCGTTGAGAGAGGAGAGAATATCGTACATATCGGAACCATCTGAACCCCGATTTCCTGTCAAAATCTGTGCCGATTCTGGGGGCGCTTTTCTTCCCACTGGCGCCATTTCTTTTCAGCCGCCGCGGGGACGCGGCTTCTCGTCGCTTCAAGGAACAAGGGCCCCTCTATATGTGGAAATGATGGTCGATTTCTAAGCTTGGCGTAGAATTACTGTTACATTATGCATAACCCTCAACTGGAGAGCCTTCGGGTCGAAGCCGCTTCCCGTCAGACTAGCATTACTCTAAATGTGATTGGAGCGGGACCCCGCGGACGGACAAATAATACAGGCTGGGCATTCAAGACCGACAAAGTTCATGATCCTGGCGATTGAGTGCAGCGAGAACTCAATTTTGAGCGGCTGTTGGTTGAGAATCTTTGTCAGAGTGGGATCGGCTTCGTAAAATACTGTGCTAAAAGATGATGGTAATCTCCATGGAGAAAAGATCAACGGATTATCATTTAGTTGAGACAAGCGAAGGATCATCGCTCAGCCTTCCGGGCCATTCGACTGGTTGGTAATCTTGGCAAGGGTCGGGGATCCGGGGTAGATGAGCATCTCGGTAGTCTCTTTGTTTTGGAGCTAGAGGAGCGGCAAGCCCTGGAAGGCAGAAAAAGCACAATGGCATCTTTCAAGGTGCAAGAAATACGGGATCAAAACTTGTCTAAGTTATACTAAAGTAGCCTAAACTCATCCTAAAGTGGCCTAAGCATTTCTGTCACTTAGAATTATAGTTCCGAGTCTCTTACTCCCCTGACTCTTAGCGGTGCTCGGTAAAAACATGCTCAGGGTCCAGCCATGATCCATCCCTTAGAGATGCATGCTACCTTCATTCATGCATATGCACGTTGGTCCTTCGAGATTGGTGAAGAAAAATCGCGCGAATGCTGATCTTCACCTGTGATGGAAATGCTAAGAGATCTAGCCTGAACCTAATCACAAATCACCCAACCGCTGCTCTGGGTTAACGATATTAGTTTACCCTCTCAATTTATAATGCTTGAAGAAATCAGAACGAGTAGTTCGTGTATTGTACAAGTACCAAACTGAGCCGTGTGGGAGGCTTCCAACAGGATCTAGCGAAGGCGTCATGCCTCATCCTGAAAACAAGTTGTTGACAGCCTAGTTTCAGCCACCACCGGAAGCCTTGGGCATCAACGCCTATTTAGTTGCAAGCCACTTTGTTCCATCATTTCTACTTTGGATTCTTCAACAACCAACATGCATGATCGAAAACACAGCTGAGGGGGAAACATATACGCGTGAAATCGTACCGGGAGTCTCTGCGGCACAGAAAACCTTAGCAGCCCTTCAGTCCAACCGCACACGGGACGTGTGACACACAAGTAGCTGAATCATCGGTAGTTGACACACAATTCCTTGATTCCAGAATCAGGCGCACTGAGATATGCCGGCAATCACTTTCCCCTTTCGTAATCGTACAGGAACAACGCAGTATTGTGCAATCCTGAATCCAGGAACCAGGAACTCGTCTTACTCGAGGCACTGAAGATGGTGGTTCAGCTCCCAAACCACGGACCATGCTGACCACGTTGGGTCACTTGGGTGACAATCCTCATGAACTCTGTTTCTCATCCTGTTTTATTGGTCTCCCCGTTCTTCGTCCAAAGATTCTGCGTTGCTGGGTTCCCCTGGATATCTGCTATACATAAATCTGAAGGGCCCCATCTTAAGCGATCGTCTTCATCTTGTGCCAATACCGTGTCAGCGGTTTCCCCCCTGGTTCGTCCTGTTACATGTACACACAGAGCGACGATCGATCGCAGCGGCCGTCTTCGCCCGGATCAGCGATCACATCGAGTTTGCGTCAATCTTTCTAGTGTCGCTTGACGTCCCATGGTGCAAACTCTGCACCCTCAAACTTTTGACATTCCATCTCTTTTTATGTTGGTTTAGCATTCACGATGGCCTCATTACATCTCTACACTCGAACAGGGCCGCCGCCCTATCCTGATCCTTTGGGTCTTCCTACGACTCCTCTTCAGCAGAAAGGACTGGCTGCTCTTTTCATCTTTCCGGCTTTATCGATCATCATTGTGTCTATGCGTATGTACAGTCGCGTGACCTCACGGACTGTTGGATTAGGTGAGTCTCTCTCATGGTCAGTGCAATAAATACCGAAAGCTTATACCCGATAGATGACTGGCTCGTGCTGGCAGCTTTGGTATTTTCGATAATCGTCTTGTCTTGGCGATGAACTAACATCGACAGTTCTTTGCTTTGATGATGATTGGGCCTCTTTACATGTGTACGTGGACTTGAATCTTGTTGCATCAGAATAATCTTTTCGCTTACAATTATACAGTTATGAAGCTCAACTACTGGGGATTCCACGAGAGAGATGTCCCAAAAGACCTCGATCTTGCCGCTGGCTTCTGGTGGAACTTTCTCGTGCAGATGTTCTACAACCCCGTCTTGGCACTCGTCAAGGCCTCGATTCTAGTATTCCTCCTTCGCTTGGGTGGTCATAAAACCAACGTGCGATACGCCATATACGGGCTCAATATCTTCAATGCCGCGCATGCTGTAGCCATCTTCTTCACAGCTCTCTTCCAATGCTGGCCCATTGAGGCCAATTGGGACATGCCCCTACGAAAGGAACCTGGCGTCCATTGTGTCAATAACTGGTTCCACGTCATTGCATCTTGCATCACGATCGTGACAGACTTCCTGGTCGTTGCACTACCTTTCTGGATTTTCCTTGGCTTGACCATGCGATGGGCTACCAAGATCGCTGTCCTGAGTGTGTTTTTGTTGGGTAGCGTGTAAGTTGCGCCTCCTAGAGCTTCGCAAATCGATACTAATATTATATAGAGTCGGTGTCATCGGCATCATCCGTGTCGTTTCCATCTATCACCAACTCGTTGAAGGGCCGAGACCCGGCGAAGACACCTTTTACTCCGTCCTTCCTGTCTGGGGCGCCGTCGAAACGAATCTCGCCATCATCTGCGCTTCGGTCCCCGCTCTCCGACCGCTTTTCCGACGATGGTTCCCTGCTCTCTTCGGAGGAAGCTCAGACGCACCATCTGGAACTCCATACGGCGGCCGATATGCCAACAACTCCCGCGGGACCGGTGGAATGCGATCACATAACCACGATGATATTCGCCTCAAAGACCTTCGGGTTTCGCGAACTCAACATACTGAGATTCGTAGTGTTTCACCGACCGGATCTGAGGAAGAGATCATGACATATAATGGAATTATGCGGACTACGAATGTTCAGGTTGCATATGAGAATGCTTCAAAGGCTACCGTATCGGAGTCGAGGACTTCCAGTGAAATACGGTTTGAAAGCAAGGCGTCAGAGGTTAGGTATGGGATTTAATTTCATGGGATATCGGGCATTGGAAAACTTGGGTTGTATAATAATTACTTTCTTAATGATTACCTGGCGCTTGCACATCGTCATTCAACCATATCCCGCGACTCTAGTACGTTCCAGTGAATGACGAACCACTTCTACTGATGTTAACATTGAATTTATGCAGCAAGGGTCGCTCATCAATGAGTGTTGACATAGATATCTGGACTACGCAAACAGATGATTCTCGGTTGGTGGGTGTTGCACTGTTGGTCCGGCACTTGCAGAGTTTGGTGCCCACGCCGTTGATGATCACCGATGGAGCTTTGAGTGGTATCTAATTAGCACAGTCTGCTTGGCTCAGTTGGTTAGAGCGTTGGTCTCATATTAGATTGTGATCTAATCTTAGATTAGAGTGATCCAAAGGTCGTGAGTTCGAACCTCACAGCGGACAATTTCTTTTGCCATTCTTGCCTATTCTTTATATGACATGGAAATATTATTCTTTTGTCGCTGACCGCCATTGGGGCCAACCATGTGGCTCGTTATTTTGCTCATCTTCTGTCACGTCTAGCGAAACTGAGATCATGCTGCGTGGCGTTGTCCATTCAATAATTCTCAGTGATTGTCTCCTTTGGTCTCACCCTAGACTTGCGCGCCATTGAACAAATCCCATCAAAATTAAATTAGCTAAGCTGCAATTATCGTGTGTAGAAGAACCCATCATACTCTATTCCCAGACACAATGCATTACATTACAACGCATCCACCGCCACCGTCCTTGCCATTGTCATCACCGCAACACCCGCAACAGCCATCACAGTCGCAACAGTTGTCGCATTCACAGCAGTTGTCACATTCGCAGCAATTGTCGCAGCTACAACAGTCATCGTTACCATCACTACCATTGTTGTTTCCATCGTTATAGTCTTGCTGATCACTTGGCTGTTGGTATCTTGTGGCATCATATGATGTATCCACCTGATCATTGTCGTATTGGTTACCGTAGTTTGTGCCATTAGCGTACTGGTCGTGATCATTATCGTAGTAGCGATTATCATCGTCTGGACTGTTTGGAGAGTGTTGGCGATCACCATCGCTATCATATCGATAGTCTCCATTGTCTATGTAATCACCTTCGTATTGGTTATACTGGGATTGGTTGTACTCAGTATAGGTGATGTTCTCTGGGCCCTGACTGTTGTCGTAGTTGTTGATCACGTAGGTGGGCTCGTTCGAGTCGTTGTTCAGGAAGTACATGGCTGCTCCTGCACCAGCCGCACCGGCGACAGCACCCCCAGCTGCATACTTCATGTTTGACGAGCTCTTCTTGTGGGTTTGTTGGGGGTAAGCATGCTGGGGAGGGCCGGGATGGTAGCCTGGAACTGGTGCAGGTCCAGCCCTTTGGACTGGCCGCCCTCCACCTTGCGGAGCATGACCTTTCGGTGGTCCAGCTTTATGTCCTTGAGCAGGAGCCGGCTTCTTGGTTGGGGGGCGCGCAACTTGTTGGGGCTTCTTCATTTGGGTCATCTGCATTCCATGATTGGGAGCAGGCTGTCTTCCGACAACAGGAGCACCTGCAACTGGTCTCGGAGCAGTCACCGGTTGATAACCGGCCGGTCGTTGAGCAGGCCTCTGGGCAGGTTGCGACGGTCGCTGAGCGGGCTGAGGTCGTTGGGCAGGTTGAGCTGGTCTCTGGGCGGGATGTTGGGCAGGTCGGCCAGCTGGAGGATGTCCGGCTGGAGGGCGTTGTGCGGGAGCAGCTGGGCCTCTGTTGCCAGCAACTGGCTTTTTGGGTTTTTGGCTATCAAGACCATGTTGTTAGTGCCTGTAATATGAGATTGCCGAAGGAGGATGCTGCCAAGATGAAGTGGGGGAGTCAATTGCGACAGGGCTGGAAGAACTAACTTGAACATCTTGACGAGGAGGTTATCCTTTGATCTCAGAAAAGATAGCGAGGAGTCTCTAGCTACCCAAACATAGCCTGCTGATGATAGCAAAAGACAGAAAACACGCCTTCACATCTTTCGTGGCGCGCAATTATATAGGGGTCTTGAACAGGAGACTACGTCCTCATAAGGCCCTCAAAATTTGTGCTTTTTTCAACCTCCACCACCACTACAGAGTACCCTGAGACAAATGCTACGCTGACAACTTGGCACTCCAAAAGCCTCCAGAAAAGATCAATTTCTTTCACACTGAAGTAATGCAGTAAGACTCTCAATGCTACTCTGTTTATTTTCGACATCAAGACGGCCCCCAAATGAAGATGCAGGGTTTCTTCAGCTTTTTTGCTTATCGTAACAGCTTATCCACATATCTGACAGCGAGGACCAGTAAATCTCTTTGCTGACCGCTGAGCCCTGTAAAATGGCTTGAAGGATCAGAACTGCTTGGCCAGATCAGGCCTTATTCCCGTTTTTAGTATCACAAGGTCCGGGCTCAGGGACGAGTTAAGCCTCATAAGCGCCAGCCTTATTTCAAAGCTCATGTGCATCAAGGCAGCAATGTCTATCCCCCGTTGTTCCCATGGTTTATCGAGGTCTGGGAGGATCTCAGATTGTCGACCGCTTGATCTTATCAGTTTCGTTGTATGGCCCCCTGGCCCCTAATGGCCTGAAGACCGCAGTCCTTGCGACCTGGTTGGGGGCCAATTCTTAGTTGGCGGCAGGATTTGTAGCGCTTTGGCCATCATTCCTGGCGTAAGGTGTTATTTTCAGCTTGACTACCTGGCATGATAAGTTGCGAGTTGGGAAAGCGCTTATCCTACCTACCAAAAACGAACCTTTCTTATAGAGGCTTTGGTTGTACAGTTTCATGGCCGCAGGGCGCAGGCTGACAGAAAAGCACGTCGAAGCCGCTGGCTCCATCCATGGTAAGAGAAACATAGGAATCTTGATGACACAGACAACCAACAACAGCAGTGTCTCGTATAAGATGAATGAATGAATTCTATGTAAGATTAAATATGGTTTATAGATGGACGGCGATATGGGGACGACGCCTCGACTTCTGAATACGGCAAGTCGTCTCTTATGCCACAGGACCGAAGAAGCTGAACTTTCCCTTGGGATCATACTTGTTCTTCAGGCTCTTCAAACGCTCTTGCCGCCAGTTCTCCTTTCCATACCAGCTGATGGGGTCTTCGTTGCCAAAAGCGTAGTTAACATAGACGCTCATGTGGTATTGGCCAGAAGCTTTGTGGAGAATATGACGCAACTCATTACCGATAGAGGCGGCCCTCTTGTCAAGCTCAGCATCCCCAGGTTTGTATGTGATCAAGGGAGCGGTGAGGATGTTCTCCTGACGGAAGGCGAACGCAGCACTCTTTGCATTCGTGCCTCGGACGGCCTGAGTGGAGTAACCCTCAAACATGAAGATAGAAGTGTTGAAAGGGGTATTGGGCCCAGTCTCTTTCGCGAAAAGGCTCCATGCGTTCTTCATGGCGGAGACATTGTACTCCTTAAGGTATAGAGGGAAACGGGGGTTGACAAGACCATTCTTCTGGCATGGGACAGCATCGACATCGATTTGTGTCCACCTGGCAAGGTCACGGTAGTCTCCAGACTCAGGAGAGATGGCAATGGGGTTTAGGTCGTGGAAAGGCTTGGAGATCTTGGGATCGATGCTCTTCACGCCTTCCTGGATGAGCCAGAAGAGGATGACAGGCTGCAAACGTTAACTTCAGACCAAAGCAATGAGTGAATGATAGAAACTTACGTTTTCAGGGTCCGCAGTAGGGTCATGGACCCAGTAGGACCAGTTAATGACGCCCTCAGGCTGCTTTCGAAGGAGATGCTCATTGGCGGTATGATACAACTTCTCAACGTGCTCGCCACTGAAGACAAGTGTCTCGATGGCCCAGTCTCGGTGCTGGATCTCATACACCTTGGAAGTGATGGAAGTCACAATACCAAAGTTGTGACCAGCACCCTTAAGGGCCCACCAAAGATCGGACTTCTTATCGATGGTCTTGAATGATCCATCAGCCAAGACAATGTTGAGCGAGACCCACTGATCTGCGATGATACCGTGATGGCCTTGGAGCCAGCCATGTCCACCACCAAGGCCTGGACCCATATAGCTAACGCACTCGCATGTTCCGGTCACTGATAGCGGTTAGCCGTCATCATTGGCATGAAAATATCATGGCGTACCGGTTTGCTTGTTGGCAGCCCAAAGTGTGTCGGTGACTTCTTTGGACCTTGTACCGCCACCAATCGTAACAGTCTTGCCGTCAGCAGCGACTTTAACCTTGTTCAGCTGGCTAAGATAAATCTCAATACCATGGTCCATGCGACCCAGAGTGGTGATGGCTCCATGAGCAGTGTTGTAGGCGAGGAAAGGAAGACTTTTGGAGTTGGCATATTTGACCTTGGAAGCAGTCATTAGCATTTGTCATGTAGATTAAGTACGAGACACTTACAGTCGTGGCGACATCCTTCTCTGTACCAGGAACGACAACAATATTGACTTTGGGAGCATCCAGAACGGACCAACGAGTAGTAGCCTTCTCAAACTCGGCAGATCCAGGACAGTAGACTTTAGCCGACTTGGATAACTTCTTACCAAGCTGGCTCAGGTCTTCAGAACATGTCCCAATGGCATCGCTACGAGCAAAAGGAGTTGTCGCGCATGTGACAGCGGTGCTCCAAGCTGCCAATGCTGCAAATACTTTACTTGAGAAATGCATTATGAGAAACCACGTACAAATGCAAAACACAACTTGGACCCTTAGACCAAAGACCCCTTCTAGATAAAGGATCGACGAGGACCAGGTGCATATTTAACTTGCCTGGTTCGCCTTTTCCTTCCTCTGTCACATCGGCCAACGTTACCCCGAAAAGACAATCCCTGGCAAATTCCCCTAACTTCTTCATGCAGCCGAGGTTTGACAAGAAAAAGGGAAATTATTGCTACTATCCTTGTTAATGTCCATAGCCACCTTCTTTGTTCAGCATCCTGCATGTTAGTTCCTCCACCCTGTCGCAGGACAACGGAGATTTTGGTACGACCCGATCGAATATCTCAAAGTCATAGCGCGGAGATGGATCCATTTTAGTACCCGCGGAACGGGTACCGGCGCGGAAAATCCCTGACTTTTAGCTGAAACCCAGTATTTATTTCGGATCCTTATTCCCTGGGTTGCTGATCCCGAAGATGCAGTTGTCCAATCGGGTTCCTGGACGTGATCTGGGTGCAATCTTAGAGCCATCAGGTTCGATTTGTGGGAGGCCTACCGAGGCTTCCGAAGGCCAGTGGGTATTGGGACCTTTTGTCTTGTGAATTGCCCGAATGCTAAGAACGAAGAAGAAATGATCGTCAAGGGCTCAAGGCGAGGTGTTGTCAGAAGTGGAAATCGGATCTGAGATGGTAACAGAGCATCTCGAACATGTCCCCAGATTGTCGAGGTAGCATTGACAGCGCCACCATTGATTCAACTGAGATCTCATATGCATGTAACATCCAAAAGGGAACATCTGAGCCAGAAATACGATAGATTGAAGGAATATGGTTAATTCTCATTGCGTGCGTGGCGTTTTCAGCCGTAGCTTGCCGTATCACAGGCTTTGACACTCAACTCTTGGCGCGTCATTTTCTTCATGAGCTAGCTAGACTTTGACCTGCTACTGCTTAGCGTCAGGTACGGCTCGATCTCCAATATTCCCAGCTATCCCCGACCACCAACCAACTGAACATTGCACGTCTAGCATGGCCAAGAGGAGGCAGGAAACCCAAGGACGAGCGTCAAATGACAAGAAAGAAAGAATTAGGTAACTTTACTTTGGTCTAGCAGGCCATCAGGAAAGTTAATTTTGGCACCTGCCTGAGACGTCCTGGTTGCATGCGCGGACTAATCTCAGGGGTGCATATTCTGGGAAGCTTGTGATTCAGTGGAAACAAAAAGTGCTTTGTGCATTCAGGCCCCTACCAGCTTACTTATGGGGCGAAGTGTCCAGGACCCAGGCCCATGGGTCGCTGATCTTTGTTCTTTCTCTCTTCCTTCCTTTTGCTTCTGATACCTTTGCTGGTTCTGAAGATGTCGGACCCTGTCGTTGAAGGTTGGACGCTGTATGCGGTCGGCGTCGCTTCGACGATCCTCAGATTTTATGCTCGCATGAGAGTGGATGGCTGGAGGAGTCTACAGGCTGAAGATTATCTTATGGCCGTATCGATTGTGAGTTCCTGTGCTGCTCCGTCCTGCTCTGTAGACACGAGTCGGATATTGACTTCATCAGGCCTTTTACACCATCCAGACAACTCTTGCATATAACGTCGGGATCCTTGCCCACGGTCTCGCAAACAATGGAATTACGGATGCTCAGCGGGCGGCATTGTCACCAAGTGACCCAGAATACGACTTTAGGTTAGTGGTTGACTGCCATCCATCTCCCGATAGTTTACTCACTCAAATGTCTAGGATAATTGGCTCCAAGATCCAGGTTGCCGGCTGGACCATATACTCCGCTCTTATTTGGTCCCTGAAGTTGTCCATGCTGTACTTCTACACTCGTCTGACGGTATGAACCCCCGAACTAATCACAAAGAAACCCAACTGACGTTGTCTAGACGGGACTTGGTCGACCTTATCGAATCCGGATATACGTGGGTTTCGGCCTTGTCATCGGCACTTTCATTGCGACTATCATAGCCATATTTGCTGGCTGTCAGCCTTTTCACAAGTACTGGCAGATAAACCCAGATCCTGGCAGTGAGTATCACAATCTTGGTAGCACATATGTTGTGCTGACCCTTCATTCTAGACTCGTGTCAACCAGCCATCTCGAAACCAATTGTTTGGGTCTCATTTGCAGCCAACATCTCAACCGATATCTACCTTATCGCAATTCCCCTCCCTATGCTTTGGGGTTCGAGCTTGAAAATGATCAAGAAGATCGCCTCGACGATTGTACTTGGAGCCGGTATCTTTGTTCTTGTCTGCGCAACCTTGAAGAGTGTTTTCGTCCTCGTGGTACGTCCTCGTTATATCTAGTTTCTCCAATACTGTGACCTAACTTGTGTATGTAGGATCCCGTTCATGGAGCCGAGCTTGCTGGAAGCTGGGGGGCTCGCGAAGCCTTTGTTGCCGTAATGACAACCAATCTACCGATCCTCTTTCCGCTCTTCAGGGTCTGGCTCACGCCGATCTTCGGAAGTGTATTACGCTCCTCTCATAAGACGTCCTATCAATATCCTTCCGGGTTTCAGACAATTGGTGGAGGAGGACGAAGCGGCAAAAGCAACGACCCGAGCCGACGAGGACCTCCGACCGCGAACCCCATATCAGCGAATATGTCTTTCAATAATAGCGAGGAAAGGATCTTCAAGGCAGAGGCCCACCGTATGAACGACTTGACAGATCATAGCGCGTCCAAAGGGATTATAGTTTCGAATGTGGTTGAAGTAATTCATGAAGACAAGAAAGGCGGCAGTAGTAGGAGCAGAGAAGGGTCTGAAGGGTCGTGGTAGAAACGAGCTCAATAACTGAGAATAGAAATGACAATAGTATACAGTATACCAAAAAGACTTTATACTATCAGGGTCATGAGACATGACCCAGGGAAGCAAGAAAACTCAGGACCTTGACCCTGAGCGACGAAAATATTTAGGTAAATCTAGCCTAAGCTTAGGGGACCTTTGCTATGTTTATCTTGGCATGATATTTCTAAGCTTACTTTTTTCTTGCTCCCTGAGGATACGTTGATTGAACAGTAGGCCAGGTCACAGTTCATAGCGTTTTTTTCTTTTTATTATCAGCAAAGGTGGACTTCTTAAATTGTTTGCCTATCATAACATCACTGCAACAGATGGTTTATACCGAGTTCTACCAAGTTGCAACGACATTGGAGCCAAGTGATGTGACAAAACCTCCTAGTAACCTGGCCTTGATCCCGTGGCTGCACGGTGGAGTGTCTTCAGAGGTCAATGCCTTCTTAACACTCCTTATCCCATGAGCGCCATGCGCCTTCAACCTTAAAGTTACCAGCGGGTTCCAACTCCCTAATGTGCTTGTAGTAGAGAAGACAAGTACCAGGGCTTCCGCCATCATGGGCGTAAGAACGGCATGTCGTCCCGTCTCCAACGGCAGCGCATCCGGCCTTGCAAGCGGCCAAATCGGTCTTCAGGCGCCGAGAAAAATGACCGGGATCATTCTTTCCCAAGATGCCACACTGAGCACAGCTAGGGTGTGAAGATCCCGAGCCTGCTGCAGCGGCGGTAGCTTTGCACTCGGCCAGCTCAGACTTGAGCGCCGCCTCTCGCGCAAGGCAAGCTTCCTTGGCCTCTGCATCGGTCTCGGCAAAAGGATCAGGCTCAACGAAGGGGTCATCGATCTCAACCTTGGCCATGTAGATGACGTCTGATCTGGTGCGATCTTCTCCATCGGGCTTGGAGACGATGCATCTCTTGGAGGGAGGGTGGTATGAGCAGACCTCGACGCCAGCAGCCTGACAGAGGGTAGCGCAGGCTTTGGCGGAGGCGATCCCCTCGCGAGTGGTGCCCGTGCGATACTTGTTGCACTTGTGCTCTACAATGTAGTCTGGGGTGATTGTCTCGCGGTGGCCTTCGACGCAGTCAGCGATGACATGAGAAGCACCAAGAAGTGCGACCAGGCTATAGATGACAGAGGCTTTCATATTGGTTGTTGGAGAATAAGGAAGTGTAAGAATTGGTAATGGGGTAAACTCGGAGACATAACTAGATTCAGTGATTGGAGTGCTTGTAAGTTGATGAGGAGAATGGAACGACGAATGCCGGATAGTCGAGATACTTATACCTGATTTCCCCCCTCATCGCTGCCCTTCGTTTTCTCTTTAACCCATCGCTATGAGACAAAGATGTCTGTTACTTCAATCTTACTGTGGGCTCAATATGAGCACCTTGCTTCAACGAGGCATGAGCTTGCAGATCTCTGTTGATCCTTCCTTGAAGCATAGAGTTTATTGGCCAAGTTTCAGCTAACTCATGATCTCCCGCTCTGATATCTGAGAGCGGCATTAAGTTCAGTCACTTGGCGCATACATAATGAGACAAGGTAGTAAGACGATTGGAGCAAGATGAATCGTACATGTTCCCTTGTGTCACCACCGAGTCTCAGATGTATGCAAGGAGCCCTTTGCGTAGAGGATGAGCGGGGGTTTAGGAAAGGGGCTCAGGGTCAAGAAAAAGTCAAGACTTGCCACGGTATTACCAAAATAAACTCATTAGAGAGCCTCCTAATCTCATGCTAACTTACCCAGATCTTTTTATCACTCAAGATTGAGGTTCCAAGTTTTCTAGCTCCCTGAGACGGCATACTACTTGAGTGATAATGTCAAGCCCAATCTGACATGCATATTCCACATACCAGCTGGGATATTCTTGCTGCTTTGGGTCTTGGCTGCAAATCATCAGCTCTTGCCCAATAGATGTTCCAAGACTGAATACATAGAGTTCAAGGATTTCAGCCCCGATGTAGATCACTGCATGGCTGACTAGATTGAGATTGCCGAGTCAGATGGGGCGAATCGGATGTCAGATCTGGAGACACGGGATTTGCGCGAGAGGACGATCAAAGACATGCATTTGTCCGTCGACCACTCAGAAGTGGCGGAATGGGATACAATGCGGGTTGGCCCATCGGACCGTCGCAGTCCAGCCGCAAGTTGGCTGACTTTTACGAGGTAATCAGGCAGTAGTGAGTCCACATCCAGTTGTTGACCCGGCAGGCTAGATATAGAGTAAGACATGCCACTAATCGAAGGGTATCTGGTAGGACCCAGGTTGTTTTGTTTACGGATATGCCGTAGGTTTTCCTACAGCTTTGGTGACTCGCTCACCTTGACAAGAAAGCTATGTACGTCTACTAAGCGTTCGCCGACAATGTTTGATGCATACTGAGTTGCGCAAGCTAGTATCACGTTAATCTGGTCCCTGATCGTAGAAAATGTTGCCATCTGTGTCCAGATTCACACGAGCTCTGATTTTCACAACTGTAAATACCATAGGAGGACGCACCAATTTCGTGATGGCCAGCAACTGAGATATGTTGCTGATAAGAGACATTCCTTACCGAGCATAGTCTTAAATCGTGAAAGCAAATGCTTGATCTCGGATGAAACCTTGACCATGTTACACCCAGCGGTGCTTGGGAAGGCTGCCCGTAACATGCCTAACACTTATCTTATCGTTAATAATCATTCGATGGCTCGATGCTAGTCTCTTACTGCATCCTGCTTTGAGGATCTCATCTGCATTTATTCACACCTCGCAGAACACCAATATGACTTCTGTTACACCAGTCAATCGACATGCAGCGTTCAATACTGTTATGATATCTCAGCTGCAATGGCATGCCGCAAGCTGAGTGTGAAGCGACTCAAGCGAGCACGCACTAACAAGTATGTCAATTAAGGAAGAGAAACAAAATAAATGATGGTCTACGCTTATTCCCAGTGAGCAGGCGACGTTTCGCGACTCGGCATCTCTCATGAGACGGGCATGTTGCTCATCACACGTTGTCGGTAATGGTCTGATGTGACTGTAAGAATTGGCGCGTGATGTAGTCGACGCGGGATGGAATGAAGCGCCCGAAGTGCCGAGGTTGCAAAAAGCATGCTTTGACACCGCAAGTTCTGAGTTTGCCGTTGTGTGGTGAAGGGCGTTGTCGCTACGGTGAGTTGTTCAGGTATGATCTGACCTCTCACCTCACCTCACCTCACCTCGGCATGCAGGTGAGGACGCGCGGACTGCATAAAAACCCTGATCCGAAGTTCGGAGTAAGAAGTGACCAATTGGATTAAAAATAAATTGGCTGTCAATTCCATTAGTGTTGATTACCCCAAATATAGTGACTATTATCGTGTCCATTCCGTGGGGAGACAGTCTCTTCTCTAGAGGCTCTTCTCATCCCGCGCGCTAGCATTGGTTATGCTGCTGCCTACAGGGACGGTACCTGAGTTGACCGCTCATTGAGGATCAGGGACCTCAGCTTACCCCTGCTTCTTCAGCTCAACGACATGCATGGGACCTATCGCGTCGAGAGCCGCGGCCATGAGGCTCATGCTGACATGGATCAAAGTAGGTCACCTGGACATGTCGACTTTTTACTCTACCCCAAAGAACTTAACTCAACCCCACGATCCTTGGCTTGACCTTCAAGGTGTAGGTGGCCTGAGCCCTGAGCTTGTTTGAGAGGTACCCACTGTAGCTTTAGCTATCGCTCCACGATAAGAGGTCTTGATAAGCAGCAATGATGCAAGTTTTTCTGCCGATGACGGCGTGTGCAGTGCTGATCAGATTCTGCGGCGTCTGTAGTGACAGCGCAGTGACCGCAGTGACTGCACAGTGAGGTTACAATATCAGGGCACAATTTGAAACAGAGAAAATATGATGAAAATCTCTTTCATCATTCGCCACTAAAGAATTGACATGACAGGCAGCAAGATGTGATAAGCTGATAGAAGCTAAACTATGGGGCATTTTAACGTCACAGGCCCCATAATCTTGGGGCCCTTTGACCTCACCAACAAAACAAAACAAAGCCGGTCTCACCGCGGATCCACGGCTCCCACTCCACTAAGTTTTTAGCCACCACCACCACCAGAAAAAAAGAAAACGACAAAATCAATTGAGCAACAGAGTCCACCGAACACGGGGGAACGTTCGAGTTTTCGCTGCCCGAATTTATTCCGGTCTCTCCCTCTCCTCTCCTTATCTTTTTATCGAAGAAACCACAAAACCCGGCGGTCAGCATCTGCATTTGAGCGGTGACCTCATTCTTCATAACAACAAAACTTCATCCTCTCCTCCTCTTCACATTCACATTCACCTCTTCATACCAACCAACACCTCCCTCCTCTCAACACCTAGATACCCTCTTCATTCGCATCTCTCTCCCTCTCTCATTCCTCCTTCACACACAATCACAATCACAATCGCCAAAATGACACAACGCCTAAAGCTCAACAGCAGCAACCTCTCCTCTATTGCGTCACAGCAGGGAGACCTAAAGGTCAAGGTCCCCTCCTACGACCGCAAGTCCCTCAAGGAGGGCATTGTCCACGTCGGAGTTGGTGGTTTCCACAGAGCGCATTTGGCCGTCTACGTAGACAACCTGCTCGAGAAGCACGGTGAGCGCGATTGGGCTATCTGCGGTATCGGCCTGCGACCCAACGATGCCGCAATGCGCGATGTCCTCAACGCCCAAGACCATCTCTACACAGTCATTGAGCGCTCGGCAAAGGGCAGCTTCGCCGATGTCGTCGGCAGCATCAACTCCTTCATTTTCGCCCCCGATGACCGTGAGGCTGTCATCGCAAAGATGGCTCATCCCGACACCCGTATTGTTTCTCTCACTATTACTGAGAGTGGCTACTACTACAACGAGAACACCCATCAATTGAAGGACGAACACCCCGACATTCAGCACGATCTCAAGCCCGAGAACGAGAACGCCCCCATTAGCACTTTCGGCTTCCTCTACGCCGCTCTGGCTAGACGTCACGCTGAGGGCCGCAAGCCCTTCACCGTCCTATCATGCGATAACATGCAGAAGAACGGAACCATCACCCGCAACATGCTCACTTCTTTCGCCAAGCTCCGCAACCCTGAGCTTGCCAAGTGGATCGACGAGGAGGGTGCTTTCCCCAATGCCATGGTTGATCGCATTACCCCCAGCACCTCTGAGAACGACATCAAGTCGCTCGCTGAGAACTTTGGCATTGAGGATGCTTGGCCTGTTGTCACCGAGCCTTTTATGCAGTGGGTTGTGGAGGACAAGTTTGCCGATGGCCGCCCTCCGTTCGAGAAGGTCGGTGTCCAGGTTGTCCATGACGTGCACGACGTCGAGCAGTTTGAGAAGCACAAGCTTCGTCTCCTCAACGCCAGTCACTCCGCCATGGCTTACCCCGGGCAGCTTGCTGGCTTCAAGTACGTCCACGAGGTCATGGAGCACCCCATCTACCGCAAGTTTGTCTGGCAGATGATGCAGGAGGAGGTCAAGCCTCTTCTCCCCGAGATTCCTGGCGTCGATATCGACCAATACTGCAACACCCTCATGGAGCGATTCTCCAACCCCACCATCATGGATCAGATTCCCCGTGTCGCTCTCAACGCCTCCGGCAAGATCCCCCAGTTCATCATGCCCTCCATCGCCGAGAACATCTGGGTTACTGGCCCCTTCCGCCGCTTGTGTTTCGTCGCTGCTGCCTGGTTCATCTACATCAAGGGAGTCGATGACAAGGGCAACACCTTCGAGGTTGACGATCCCATGCGCGAGAAGCTTCAAGCTCTGGCCAAGGAGGGTGGCAAGGATCCCCGCTCTATCCTCAGCGTCCGAGAGCTATTCGGTGACGATTTGCGAGGCGACCAGCGCTTCCTGGATGAGGTGACCAAGGCCATGGAGCTCATCACCAAGGATGGTGTGATGGAAACCATCCCCAAGTATGTCAACTAAGGGATATCGGCGGCGTTACCTATCGACTTGTTCTGGGCAGGGAAAATTACAGCGAAGCGATGATGATGATCGGTTAATAAGTGACTTTGGGATGGTGGGCTAGGGTTAGACGCGGGTTTGTGTACCGTCCTAGAAGGCACACCTCAGATAGACATCAAGGGCAGATGCCCAAAAAGTTTTAATGATTATGCCATGATTTGA